CCATAAGGGATGCTGGCACTTACTACGCCACAGTGCTAGCCCCTGGGGGAGGTTTTCTATGCCTTCTCCCTTTGAAATATTAGAAATTAAATTATTTATTCATTTAATGGTGTCTAAGAGGTTGTCTTTGGGTTTCTTGTTTTGTCTGGGGTATTTCAAAACACATACCTTTTAGTATCCTTTTTTCTGTTATTGAGACTTTTAACTATTTTATTTGACCGAGTTCTTCATTTCTAAGTTTTCTTTTGGTTCTTTTTAAAGATCTCTCTGCTGAATTTCTCAATATCTTGTGTTAATTTCTTTTTTTAAAGTGTTATAAAATTTATTCGTGTAAGCATTTGGCCACTTCAGGTAGCAGAAATGATATGCAGATTCCACTACAAAGTGCAGCAGAAAATTGTACTGGGAAAGAGAGTATGATTAAATTTCATTTAATTGCATGTGTATTCTCTTGTGTCTTTTAGTATCTTTGTAATCCTTCTTTATCAATCCTTTCTTTGGAGTCTGATACTAAAGCATCATGTTTGGAGAGAAGGTTGCATCATACTGCCTTTGCTTTTTCATATTTCTTATGCCCCTATATAAATATTTGTACTTCTGGCAGCTCAATTATTATAATCCCTATTTTAAAGGTTGACTTTCATAGAGTGAATGCTTTTTCATGAAGCTGCATCTTTGGGTGTCCATTTGGTAAGCTATACTGGATTTAGTTCTAAACAGTTAAGCATGGTTCCCCTATATCTTCTTCCACTGTGGTGGCAGGAGTGTAAATGGGCCCCCCCTCACTCCCAGCAAAGTTTTTTGGGTTTCTGTGGAGGTTGCCAGGGGTGGATGCCTGGCCCCAGTCAGGAGCATCAGGGCTTGCTGCATCAAGGCTTGAGCCAGAGTCCAGGGTAATCAGTGCGCATGACACTAGGTGGTAAAAGTGACTCTGGGAGGACAGCCCCAAATCTGTAGACGCAGATTCTTGGTTCCGAGTTCCTGGGAGGAGACCCCACCCTGCAGTACCCCAACACCTGTCTCATGTAGTGCAGGCTATTACCTGGGAAATGGTGAGAGGGTGGTTGTGTTTAGTTTGAGAGGCTGCAGTCCCTTTTGCTGTGTAGTAAAATATCTGTGGCCTCCCAGGGTTGGGGATAGTCAGCAGTTTCTGTACATTATATCCGTGAGGATTCTGACAGTTACTCCTTTCTCAAGATGGCATCCTACTGCTTTGGCTTGTGCTCTAGGGTTTGGGGAGTTCCTGCTCTGAAGCAAGCTATTACATGTGTTCCAGGCACCTAACCTTGCTGTGCTGTGATGACTATGGCTCCCTCCTGTAGCCAAGATTGCAGACATCCAGCACCCCTGGAGATGAGGTCTGCTGGGGATCCCCCATTACCTTGCATTACCCTACTTGCCATGGGGCTGGGGTCATCTTTACTGGTACATTTTGTTCCTCACTCTTTTTAAAAGATTTATTTATTTATGTAGTTGTGCAGAGAAAGATCTTCCATCCTCTGATTCACTCCCCAAATGGCCACAACAGGTAGGGCTGGGCCAGGCTGAAGCTAGGAGCTTCTTCCAGGTCTCCCACAATGGATGCTGGGCCATCTTCCATTGCTTTCCCAGGTGCATTAGCAGGGAGCTGGATTAGAAGTAAAGCAGCTGGGACAGGAACCAGCACCCATATGGAATGCTGATGTCACAGGCAGCAGCTGAACTTGCTATTCTACAATTCTGGCCACTGTTCCTCTCTTCATGCTGTCATCCTAGGTCTCTCTGTGCAGAAGAAAATGAATGCTGGGCACCTCTATTCAGCCTTCTTGGAGAGCTTGTATCATTTTTCAGGTGTTTAAGAATGTTATCTTAGGGGCTGGCATTGTGGTGCAGCAGGTTAAGCCACTGTTTGTATCCCATATCAGTGCTGGTTTGAATCCTGACTTCTCCATATCTGATCCATCTTCCTGGTGATGTGCCTGGAAGGCAGCAGAAGAGGCCCAAATACTTGGGCTTCTACTATCCACATGGGAGAGTAGAAAAGAGTTCCTTCAGCGTGGCTAGCTTGCTGTAGGCATTTGGAATGTGAACCAATAGATGAACGATTCTCTCAGATAGCAAAATGGAACAAAAATAATGGAGAACATGAGTGATAAACTGTTCAAGTCTACATTTTACTTAGAAATACATAAGCACTATGACAATGGCATTGCAAACACCTTGTTAATCCTATATAGTTGGAAATAACTACATGGCATGTTTGTGTCAAAGTGTTGAAAAAATGAAATACCAGTGTTTGAGACAATAAAATATATCTGTAGCAACCTGACTGAACTCATTACAAAAAAATAAAAAAAAAAAACACCTGGATTTCACAAGGAACTAAATACTAAATAATCTAAACATTATTAAACAGGAAGCTGGTTTGTAGTGATACCACTGGGATTAAGAAAAAGGGTCACCTAAGTTGTATATTCAAAAAAGGAAAAATTGATAGGCAAAATGTTAAATTTTTAAGCAACAAGTTAAATGAGTAGGGGAATAAACATAGAAACACAATAATGTAACAAAATTTTTCAGCTGAGAATAATTTGATTTGGGTGAGGGTGTTTCCAATTTCTGATCTCTCAAAAATAAAATGAGTTGTCTTATGAAGATACTCTTTTTAAAAAGAACCTAATCAGATAATTTCTTCATCAAGATCCACAACTTGATCATATCCACAAAGTCTCTTGTCACATAAGGTTGTTTATTCACAGGCTCCTGGTAGTGAGGATATAGGCACCCTTTGGGAAACATTCAGCCCACCACAAATGGTATACATGCATATTAATAATGTAACATGCATTGTTAAAGAAGTTGTTAGGAATGATAGACATGATACTGAGGATTCTCAGAGTTGAAGTAGCTCCTGCAATATGAGAATTCAGGAATCCATCATGTAGTAAAATGACAAGAGAAGGCCAGGCAGAATGTATGTCAAAGATATGGTGAAGACAAACCATGCAAGATTGCTGCTTTTGTAATTCATAGTACTTTCACATAATTGCTGTGATGGAGTATATATAAGGTAAGTGGAAGATAAGGAAAACCTAGAGTAAAGGGCTTGGAATAAGAGACCTTCAGTCTCATCTGAATTTCATGGTTGTTTTCGCTTGGTCATTAGCCTTTCGCGTGGTGGTTCAGGGTCCTCTTACCTTTTTTTTTTTTTAATTCTCTTTTCTCACTGCTGACCAAGTATAGGCGGTTATAGATCAGTTTATTTTACTGTTCATACTCAATACATTCTTAAGCTACTTGATTAAACCGTGTACTTACAAAAACACTTAAATTCTTTCATGAAAACTTTTGATAAACAAGGGAGAATGTGAGTGTAGGGGTTAGTGATGGTTTTTGAAATAAAAAATAACCAGCGGCTACATCAAGTTTAAGATTTATTTATTTATTTGAAATTCAGAGTTACAGAGAGAGGTCTTCCATCTGCTGGTTCATTCCCCAATTGGCCGCAACGGCCGGAGCTGCGCCGATTCGAAGCCAGGAGTTTCTTCGGGTCTCCGATGCAGGTGCAGGGGCCCAAGGATTTGGTCCATCTTCTGCTTTCCCAGGCCATAGCAGAGAGCAGGATTGGAAGTGGAGCAGCTGGACTAAAACCGGCGCCCATATGGGATGCCGGCGCATCAGGCCAGGGCGTTAACCCGCTGCACCACAGCGCCGGCACCAGCCACTGTTTATTTCTTCTCTCTTCTTGCTCTTAATCATCTGTGGTCGCTGTGTACTAGCCTTCTATAGAGAACTAGCACTGGCCCTACCCAAAAGCCCTAATCCCAGCATTGCTGAAAGAATATAAGTTGGGTTGCTCTATCACTGTAGTCTCCTGTGACTAGTAGCCTATGCTGACATAGCTGTATCAATAAATCCTCTTGCTGGAGAACCACTTCACAGCTTTTCCCTATTAAATACAGGCCAATTTGCTCTTTACTAAACTCAGCATTTTATTCTTCTCTTGTCTGCTCTAAAACTTATAAAATCAATTCAGTATTTATCAAATACTGTGCATATTTTGTATTTTCTGCAGTTGATGCAATTTTAGTCTGCTTAACAGCATTGTTTTAATTTGCAGTTTAATTTTTTTTACTTGAGAGACATTGCATGAACTACCATCCAGCTAGTTTGCTCCTCAAATGCTCATAGTAACCCTGCTAAAATCAGGAGCCAAGAACTCAACCCCGGTTTTCCACATGAGTGGTAGGAACCCAACCTCTTCAGCCATTATCTGCTGACTCTAAGGTGTGCATCAGCATGATGCCAGAACTGGGAACAGAGCAAGGACACAAACACAGGCATTCCAATAGGAATGCAAGTGTCCCAATCTGCTAGCTAAGCCAAATACCCACCTCTAGGTCTTTTTTTGGCATTTTAAACTCTAATAGCATTTCCTTAAAAAAAAAAAAAAAACTAGAAGTATTCCTGTAGATGGAATCAAATTATGAGTATCCATTTGATGATTTTATATTAAAATGAATTCCTTTAGGCAGTTTTGCAATTATTGACATATATTGCCGCAGTTAAAATAATTAACCAATACACTGAGTAAATAATTTGTAAACAAGTCTCTATTTGAGTCCTAGCATTGTGATTTTTCTAGAACAAGTTACTCAAGAAGTCTGTTCTTTCATCATTTAATAAAGACAATGGATTGCTGAGATTATTGTAATTATTACAAGTTAGCATTTGTAAACCTCATGTTTAAAACATGATCTAGAACAACAATTTTATAAGGATATAAACTAGTTATTAACATTTGGGAAACAGTACGCATAGGGGTTAAGAACATAAACTCTAGATCCAAATTTCAGCTCCATACCTTACTACTAAACTGACCTTTGGCAAATTGAATGTCCTGTGCATCACTCATCTTGGTCTTAAAATATGCAATAGAAGTTTTAAAACATTTCTTTTGGGATTGTTATAAGGAGTCAATCAGCATTATTAATTTGTTGATTATTTTTGACACTTTTCAGGTGAGCCTTGGAAGCAACCAGTACCTTTTCTCTGTCGTAGTAGATCCTAAAGAAATGCCCTGTTTCTGTTTGCGCCATGATGTTGATGCCCTACTCTGGCAGCCGCACTCGAGTAGACAAGATGATATGTGGGAGCACATCGCAACATTCAATGCTTTAGGTATAAAAGCAGTCTCTTTGACCACATTTTCTAATATATAAAGCACTGGTCTTTAAGTTTTTTTTTTTTTAATTCAAGCTGCCTTAATTGCATTTGAGTTGATTTGTTTTATAATTTGGTTGCCTGCACTATGCTTGATGAACGTTAGTACTATTGGTTTTTAAGACTAACTGGTTTTTGTACTTGTGCAAAGTCAACACAGACTAAAAAGTGGGTATCTAACCACTTGAGTCATTCTGATCAGTTACTGCTTATTCTAATTCTATAAGCTATACAATGTTAGAATCTGACCAAGGGGCTTGACAATAAACTACATGGAATTTTTTTCAGGTTTCTTATGCATAATCATCAAAAACATCATAGAATTGCTTTAAGGTAATTCACATTAGGAGGCATCTTTCATGCATCTTAAGTGCAAAAGAGCCATTAAAATGAAAACACTTATGCAAAGTGGTAATAAACAGATTTGGTAGGATAAAGTGGAAGACACCTGTATTAAAGCTAGGGCTTGAAAAATTTTAAACTACATAATTGTAAACATATGTAATCATTGATTATAAGTCAAAATGTATTGTGGGAAACATTGTTTATATGAATTAGCTGCAATTACTGCTTTTTTGAAAGGTTATTTTAAACTGGCACCAGGAATTAGTCATTTATTTTGATGACTATATATGTGTATGCCTAATTGTAGAGATTTGTCAATTACAGCTAATAATGTAGGTTGTTAAAATGGTTAACTCAGAATCCAAATGGATTTGTATGACCTAATATACAAAGTCTGACCCAACAAACAAAGTGATTAATTTAACCACTTAATATCTAGCCTTCCTCCTATAATTTTTATTCTCTATTGTCTGTCTTCAGTAAAAGTTCTAGTGTATAATTTTTAAATGCCTAGTTGCTCCGTTTGTATCCCCAAACTCCTTATTACAGAGAAATTCAGTGCTTCTACATAACACTTGATACATACTTTTGAAATATTATATACATTAGTCCTGCTAAGGTTTAGACTGGAGAGCAAATTCTAAACTACTCAAATAATTGCCTATGTCCTATTCACTTTTCCCTCTTCAAACTTAGCACAAAGAAATCAGTATTTTTTTTAAGCTCAGTAGTTCCTTTCCTCGTTGTTTGATGAGATCTCAGTTTCCATTGGTTTCATTTTTTTCCTCACGTTTTATAATATTTAGTAAAATGTCCCAATCTGAAAATCCTAATATAAATGTTCTTTTAATCTGCAAACATACCTTGTAAGCATGTATATGAATTAATGCGAGAGTAATATATTTTTCAGATTAATTAGTTTCCAGGGATATTCTCATTAAATTACATTCTTGACTTTTCTTTTGAGTTGCAGTGAACTCAAACTTCTACTTCTGAGAGCTATAAAACATGAAATCTTGTTACATCATGATTACTGATGTATAAAAATATTCAACATTATAGCAATGAGGAGAATGCATTGTGAATTTTAGTGCCTTTAGAGATACATTATGAAGAAACTTCTGGAATAACTTTATGATAGTATCCTAGAAGGACTTTCCAGTTGATAAAAGAAAAAAATATTCTATGATGCCAAACTTATGATTCATGAACCTAAATATTAAAGATATTTTGGCATGTGGTTGCCGTTTTCTGTTTTAGATTTTTAGTGTTATTTGTGGAAAACAAATGGAATCATGTTGTACTTTTATTGAAAAGATGACACATACTTGTCTTGCTCCTTAGGAATTAAATTTCTAATTTTTTTTTACCAGTTAAAGAAATTAATTATGAATAATCATTAATGGTTCAGAATTCAGCCATTGTTGAGCATTTATGGTATATATCTTAGATATCTTAATTTGTAATAGAAATTACAATGTTAAATGCTAAATCATATTTTTTCCTTCTGATTAATATACAATTTTGTTTGTCTCCTTCTTGGCAGGCTATGTACAAGCATCAAAAAGAGACAAAAAATTTTTTGCCTGTGCTCCAAATTACTCCTATGCAGCCCTGTGTGAGTGCCTCCGTCGCGTATTCATCTATCGTCAGCCTACCCCCATGTCCACTGTACTTTACAACAGAAAGGAAGGCAGGAAAGTAGGGCAGGTTGCTAAGCAGCAAGTAGCAAGCCTAGAAACCAATGATCCTATTTTAGGCTTTCAAGCAACAAATGAGAGATTATTTGTTCTCACTACCAAAAACCTCTTTTTAATAAAAGTAAATACAGAGAATTAATTATTCCAACATGTTGGCTTCTCTGCACCAGAAAAGTATTCAGTGGTAGCTAGAGGCTGGGCGATTATTCTGTAACCTGTTAAGTTTTAATGATGAAAAATATCTTGTATGAATTTTTAATTTTTTAAAGGATACTAGAAATGTATTCAAGAAATTATGATTCTGTAAGAGCTATGGAATGAAGCTGCAGATTTAGAGAACATTTTCTTCTGTAAAAAATATATAGGGATAGTGTCAATGAGTATAATTATTTTTAAGAAACAAGATAAAATCTCATTGTTTATATGAAAGATATACAACTCCATGTTTAAAAATAAAAATACTTCTCATGTACTCTTTGTTCATTGATTAGTTGGTACACTGTATACCTTTAGAATATAGGATAACAGTTAAAATTTTGAGTCTTGTTACACTGAATAGCTGAATCTCTGTAGGAATGCAAGATACATGGCTTCTTCCCATGCATAATAGAGGAAACTTTCCAAAAGAGTGTGCTTCATAACAGGAGCTTATCAGCTTTATCAGGTGTACTCTATCACATTTGTTAATGTCCCATTGGACGAAGCTAGTCACCTGGCCAAGTCTAGAGGAGACTCCACAAGCAGACAGACAGCAGGAGGTCTAACATACTGGGGGAGTCACTGATGTGACAGTGTACTACAAAAGGGCCAAGATATACTTTGTGCTTGAACTTCTCATTTTTCTGACTGGTTTAACAGAAACAGTCTTGTTTATACATTAAATCTGTTTTACCATAAATTCTAGTTTGTCATACTGTAGTTTGCATTTGCTAGCAGTCTTTAAAAATTTTATGCCATTTTTAGGTGTCTATCATATTATCCTCTAATTATATTTTATATTGTAATGATGGAGTTGACCATAATTTCATAAGCATAAAACAAAGATAAACAATAGAAAATATCTGTTCCTAACGTAATTTTGTTTAGCCTTTGTTTGAATTAAATATTAATGAATAAAAGAAAAACAGGTTTTTGAGACACAGGAGGAAAAAGATAGAGATTATATTCTGACATAGGGTTTAGAACATGAATGTAATTTCCTGAAGGGAACTATTGGTATGCTGGATAAAATGTTGGGAATGGTCCTGAGAACTGGTACTGATAATTAGTCATAGTAGTACTCTGTTAGGAGTAGGAAGGAGATAGCTTAAATATATGTTGAAAGTCTAAATTTTCTCAAATTTTTCCCCAAAGGTAGTAAGTACCTTCTTTTGGGAATATAAGAAAAAAATATACTAATGTGCTTAATTAGCCATGTGATTATGCATATATCCCAATTTTTGAAGCAATTAATATTCTTTGATTTGATTTTTTACAAAATTATTATTGGATTGAAAACTAGATAACTCATCCTAAGTATTATTGCATGTTGACCTATGTTAAGAGATTATTAGATCTAGAGTGGCACTTAAAAGCTATATTTTCTTGAAGTGCTTCAAGCATTCCATAAACGTGTAACTCAGCTTAAACAGTGTTCTACACTTTTTAAAATAAATAACATTTATTTGAATAAGACATATACCACATATACCACCAAAGCTATCCATGTTCTTTCTTGTGTCTTTTATCATAAAGTATAAATGGGTATTTACAAAGTATCATAGTAAAAAGTTTTACAATGAATAGTTAATCTGCAAAACAAAGTATCAACACATTTAAGCTTCAATTATATACTGAAGTATGATTTTTTTCAGTATTAAGCATAATGCATTGCTATGAATAAAGAGACATTATACATTCCAGTGACTTTTCAGGTAAAATTTCTCTTTGGAAGGGAAAAGGAGGTGGAGGTAGCATAGGTAGAGTAGTGTTCTACTGGTAGAAAAAAGTATGACCACAAATAGAACTGTGGTGACTACATACATGAGGCAAGCATAAGAATTGCCAGTGGGAAGATCCAGTAAAAGGATCAGAGAGTTTCAGGAAATTAAGAATGTTAATAATATACAACTACCCCATCTCCACACAGAAAGAAACAAAAATACAGGTTAAGTCATGAGTGCACAGAAATTTTTTTTAATGATCTACAAAGAAAAGAACAAATGGTGTGTTTACATATAGCAAGGAATATAGAGAGAAACTATGATTGCACCTATCGTTAATAACTGCTGTAAGCTTTGAAAATATTATTTGAGAGGTAGAAACAGCTCTCATCTACTAGTTCACCAAATGCCCACATTCTGGGTCTGGGCTGTGGCCAAAGCTGAGAGCCAGAAGCTCAGGCCAGGTGGCTAGAACTCAATTACTTGAGCTATCACCACTACCTCCTAAAGTCTGCATTAGTAGGAAGCCAGAATCAGGATCTAGAGCCAGGCATCAAACTCAGGTACTCCAATTTGAGACACAGGCATCTTAACCAGCGTCTTAAATGTAAGCATTTCTTATTAAACAAGTAATACTAGTAGAGCTAATAAAAATTAGCCCTAATGATGCAGTTATAGGAGTAATCAACCAAAAGGAATGTTTCTAAAATTGGTAAGAATAAATGTACCAAAACCAGCCAAGGTAAAAGGTACCATGCCATGTAACAAGGTATATCATTAAACTGTAATTTAAAGATGTAGTATCACCATGTCCGTAAAAAAAAAAAATCCATATTCAATTGTTAATTATTAGAAGAAAATATTTATATTCTCAAGATCAAGCAGTCTTCCTAAATTCTAGAAACCAAAAAATTTAATGGAAAAGATTAGTGAATTTGAGCTCCACGACAGGATACATTTTTTATGACCTATTTAACATTGGTAAAAAATAAGCAACAGACTAAGAGGTATGATACATGTATATTAGATGATTAAATTCTAGAATATAAAAACTAGCATTTAATAAAAAGTAGCTAAGTTACCCAGCGGAAAAGTAGGTAAAAGATAAATAGTTCACGGAAAAGGAACTAAAGATGGCCAGTAAAGCTACAGTAGTAAAGACAATGTGGTATTGGCATTAAGATCTTTAAATAGATCTATAGAATACAATAGAGAATACAGATATAGACTCAAATATATGCTTATTTGATTTAGACAAAGATGTATGTTGAATGCATTAGACAAAAATATCAAGGCAATTCAAAGGATAGATTATCATCTTTTCAACAGATAGTGCTGGCATCCCATATGAGCTCTAGTTCATGTCCCAGCTACCCCACTAAGATCCGACTCTGTGCTATTATACTTGGGAAAACCGCAGAAAATGGCTCAGGTACTTGGGCCTCTGCCACCAACGTGGGAGACCAAGAGGAAGCTCCTGGCTTCAGCCTATCTTCACCTTGGCCATTGCGGCCATTTGGGAATTAAGCCAGCAGGTGGAAGATCTCACTGTCTGTCCCTCTCTCTAGCTCTTTCAAATAGATAAGCAAGCCTTAAAAAAAAAAAATGGATATCCATTTTTACCTTTTTTAAAGGGGCCTGTAAATGTGACCTAAAAGGATAGGTTAAGCACTGCTTGTAATGCTGGCATCCCATATCAGTTCTGGTTCAAGTCCTGGCTATTCCAGTTCCAATTCATCATCCTGCCAGCACACCTGGGAAGGCAGTGGATGGTGGCCCAAGTACTTGGACCTCTGCCACCTGTGTGGGATACTCAATTGGAATTCCTGGCTTTTTCCTGGACCACACCTGGCTGTTGCTGTTTGGGAAGCACATGCGATTTCCTTGCTAACTTTCTTCCATATAAGTCTTAGAAAGGCAGAATATTTGTAGAAGTGATAAAGGATCTTTCCATGGAAAGATTATCATGGACTATCCAGTAGGTCCTAAATCCACTTACACTGTCATTATACAAGAAGCAAAGGAAGATTATAAATGCAGAGGAAAACCATGTGTGAAGACAACCAGAAACTGGACTGATGAGGCCACAAGCCAATTTGTGAAATCTTGCTGGTCACCACCAGAAGCTAAGAGGAGGCGAAGAAAATACTCCCCTCTCCCTCCCCCAGATCATCTGGAGGGAGAAGGTCCCTGTTGAAAGGAGTCTGAGCAGGAATGGTCAAAAGGTAGAGAAAACAAAGGGGCCCCTCCAGCCTGAACCCTAAAGCAAGTGTGATAAGAGTCAAAGAATTTCACTGATTAGTCAGGAGAAAGGCAGGCCCTGACACCAAGGTCACACAGAAGGCCAGGAGATTGGAGTTGTAACAGTGACCAGCCCTAGGGCGTGTGGTAAAGACAAGCAGTTCCCCGTGATGGGCCCCAAGGTACAATTTTTTTCTGTTCTCTGAAAGTAAGGACCAAATTGGAGGAATGGGAGATAAGGCAGGGTGAGCTCACCACATAAGAAATACTTTTCTAAAAGGACCTCATACAAACATTCCAACAGGCTAAAACCCCCAGATCACTTCCTGTCAACAGCTTTTGCCTTCGGAAGAAGCCACTCCCAGCTGCTTTCCCCAGGAGATTTCCATCTGCTTTTTCATCTGCCTCCCACTTTGTGGTGGATAGAACAAATTCCTGGGGTTCAAGTCAGTCATAGCACTATGATGCCCTAATTTTAGTCTTTTGGCCTCAGAACTCAGAATGCCTAATTTTTCATCATTTGTTATAGCAACTGGATGAAACTAACACAATCTTCTATCATAATTCACTTAAAATAGATCATAGACCTGAAACTATGAAACTTCCCACAGATAACAAAGGAAAATATTTGTAACTCTGATAAGCATTATCAAAATTAATTGTATATTCTTGGAAAGACAAGCCACAGACCTGGGAAATACATTTGGAAAATAATCTCTGGTAAAGGGGTAATATCCAGAAGATACAAAGAACCCTCACGGGGCCGGCATTGTGGCTTAGCAGATAAATCTGCCACCTGGTTGCCGGCATCTCATATGGGCACTGATTCTAGTCCTGGCTGCTCCAGAAAGCAGTGGAAGATGGACCAAGTGCTTGAGCCCCTGCACCCCTCTGGGAGACCCGGAAGAAGCTCCTGGCTCTGGCCTGGCCCAGCCCCGGCAGTTGCATGGCAGCTATTTGGGGAGTAAACCAGCAGATGGAAGACCTGCTAACTCTGCCTTTCAAATAAATAAAGAATCTTCAAAACTATATTAAAATAATTGAATTAATAGGCCGGCGCCGTGGCTCAATAGGCTAATCCTCCGCCTTGCAGTGCCAGCACACTGGGTTCTAGTCCCGGTTGCCCTTCTTCCAGGCCAGCTCTCTGCTATGGCCCGGGAGTGCAGTGGAGGATGGCCCAAGTGCTTAGGCCCTGCACCCGCATGGGAGACCAGGAGAAGCACCCTGGCTTTGGATCAGCACGATGCGCCTGCCGCAGCGCGCTGGCCGCGGTGGCCATTGGAGGGTGAACCAACAGCAAAAGGAAGACCTTTCTCTCTGTCTCTCTCACTGTCCACTCTGCTTGTCAAAAAAAAAAAAAGAAGTGAGTTGGTAATTTTCAACTACTTGAAATACATTTTTGATAAGGAATATTGTGGTAGAGAAATTAAGATAAGCTTGTTCATACAATTCTATGACATGAACCCTAAAGTGGTGACTAATGATTCATGATACTCACACTAAAAGGTCTCAAATGGAATATTTTTTTTCTGTAAAATTGTGTGGTGGTGTTGGGATAAAAGCATTGTTTTTTATATATCTTATTTTCTGCAGATTATATAGATATATGTACACCATATTTTATGTAAAACTGTGTTAGTCTATAGGAAATGATTCAAAGCAACCAGCATTTTTGTTTTTGATAACATGTACAGTCTATGGCAACCACAAAGAACATTAAATTTCTAGTTCGGGA